TGGGCCGTTTCTCATGGTTTTTCCTTCTTTAGTGTACCACTCACCATCGCTAAATTAATTTGAAATGGGTTGCCTTTCCAGCGTGAATTCGTCCTTTAATCACACCTTGCTCAGCTCAAAGCGTGTGCTCCCAACTTAGAATTGAAGAGCGCATTTCATTTCATAAGAAAATCTTCATAGTGGCCATCTACGTGGACGGCATCAGAAAAGTTTGCCCCGGAAACATGGTGCTCTGGTCGAGCTCAATGGGGTTCTCGACTGATCGTGTACCGTTACGACGGGTTCCGAAGGGCGGGTTCCGAGGGGGTTTGCATAGTTAGAGCTAATGTAGGAAACTATCCCACGTTGAATCGATCCAAGAAATTATGTAAGAGCTTCAGGCTGAAGCAGTTACTGTAGGCCTCCTGAGCTCGACGACGGTGACAGATGACGTCATATTCTGAAGACGGTGAGGGTAGTGAAGGAGGGCCTGCGTGTACTTATAGAGGGACATTTAGGGAATATTTTGCTGAGGAACTTCCGTCAACGACGGCAATCTCTGCGAAAAAAGGCCGAAGTGCGACCTGGCAAAATGTCTTTTTTTGCCCCCTCCCCTGTAGAGATTACTACAGTCGACCTACCAGTTCCTAATTCTGCTTTGAACCTGCCATTTTATTGCGTGTTGCTGTTAGCATTACAAGTATTTGTGTACAAGCAACAATGAATCGGCGCTGGTCTCAGCAAGTCGCTAGTAAGTGTCAATCATTTTGAAAAATACTTGACATATATTCTTTTTTATCAAAAACGTAATATAATGTTGTGCAAGATCATAAACTTTTTCGACATACTAAGAAATTTGGAATTGTTCGACATAAGCTAAAAACTAAGAAGGTGGGCCAATTTTCAAAGCTTCCTAGTTTCTTTGTTTGTGATCGAATAGCTTCCAAATTTCGCCATAATGATACCTATGTGCTCACAAGTAATAAACAATAGCTAGAAGGAAAATTTTTCCACGGAAAAATTCAGGTCCGAAAGGGTGAAACCTCTGAACCAGCTTATACATGACGAGAAGCAAAGCGTTTCGACGGGACAGAAAATAATCTGCTTTTGGACAGAGTCTGACATTAGATATGTCAATTTACCCTTTTACCAACATCCCTTTTCTTTTCGTGCCGACTTAACATCTGAGCGAACGTCAAAGTGCTCATCGGTTTATTTATTGTGATGAAAATGAAAAGACAAAAAGCAGAGAGTGTACCTGTTTCGTTGATATCAGAAAAGCCTCCCCTGTTTGCCCTGACAGGGTCCTGCCGGAAAGATCCACAATGGTACCAGACAAAAATATTGGTACTTCCATCACATCTGAAGCGATGGAGAGTTATAGTGCGATTTATACATCCTGGATTCTTTTGTTAAGTCCGCGGTTCGGAACGGGTAAAATGTTATTTGAGCACAGAAAGAAAAGTTAGGTGGATTTGTTTGACAGTCGAAATAGTGCAACATTAGAAAGGTCATCCCTTTCGACCCAACACCCTTATTATACAACCATTTTCGAGAACTGACGCAAAAAGAATCAAGATTCGACTCCGCAAGGGGTTTGCGTCACAGCAGAATGACACAACACTTGTCGTGACCTTTCCTACAGCATAAGTTTTGGTCCGTCCCAAAAATTCTCGGGGTTTATTTTATAATTGTGAAAAAGCGAAATTTTCATGAGAACAGTCCATCAATATCACTTTAAAATTATGTGGCCATTATTGTACCCAATAGCTCCCTCCCCGCTACCTTTGGTCAGCTTTGTCTGCTTGCCATAAACACCTGTAAATACAGTTCCTTAGTTCTTCCTAATTGAGCAGGCTGAAAAGCGAAGGAATAACACAAATAGTCAGCTTTCCAAACCTTCATTCTCGAATATTCCACGAATTGCAAACAGCGCAGCCTTGGCGTTAGCAGTGTCAAACACTGTTTCCACAAGCAATACGTCCACTCCTCCTTCTAACAAAGAGCGAGCTTGATCCCCGTAGGCTTTAACAAGTTCTTGAAATGCTGAAAAAGGACAAATTACAACCACCATTGGAAAGCGTTGTAAATTTACTAGTGATTGAAGTCAACAATAACCAGTGCCCAAGCAGTGAGAAATCGGGGAATAGAGCCTCAGCATGTGCAAGCCGTCTTTGAAATCATAGTCCGCATTATTACTTTCTGCATCTGCATGTTTCTATGATATTTCTCAACATCGAAAAACTAGGCACTTTGACTTGTTTCTAATGATTGGTTGCTTCATCAACCGCAGTTCCTAGTTTGATAGCTTCACTTATTCTCCTCTATGCTGAATCTGGTTTTTTGCACCAACCTGACCCAACACCTCTACGATATCTTTCGCATAGCGAACTACGGCCAAAACCAGTCGGTGGCAATCGAAGACAATCCAAAATTGTAATATCCATGGTCATGTTTATGCTGCCTTGACTAAATTTAGTTTTCGGAAACAAGCTTAACGTCTGTGATTTCAGGCTTTCAAATCCGATCACCTTCCTCTGCCTGACCTCCTCCTTCAGAAAAATACTTTCTCGTTCTGCATCCCTGAAAGGCGCAGGAAGGAGGGTTTCCGCAAATGGCGACGAGTGATGTAACTGCCAAGCCACCTACCCATTTGACCTGCGCTGGATTGCAAGCCACCTTGGTTTTTTCGGAAAAATTTTCACGTTTAATTCTTTTTTCCATCTTCAGCACTTGACCACTGCTGACCATGATCACCGTCACGGCGGAGAGTAGGGCGAACCGATCAGCGACTGGCCACGAATAACGTGATTCTAGGGCATCTTCGGTCATTGGTATTCGCAAAACGAACTTACTGATATTCCGCATTTCCGGCTTCTCGACTGATGGGGATATTGATAGTGTTTTGTTGGTGGGCCCAATTGCTCCGCAGACGAAGCATCGTTTTCCTTCAATGAAAATCTTGTTGTCTAATACAAACACTTTTTGCGTCCATCCCTCTGTAATCTCTGAGAGCGCACAGAGAAATTTGCAAGTATAATCGTTCACAAACATGATACCTGGTAATGCGTAGGTACTATTACAAACATTACGTTGTCTAACAGGCGGTACGAAAGAGGAGGGGTCTGGTTTTGCACAAGAGGCATTCGCAACTTGAGATCGTTTCAGTGGGAACTTGAATTCTAGCCTACCGTTCGTCTGTTAAGGGAAGAGAAAGGTCATATTTGAGGCGAGGGGGGGGGGCGGTCGTATGCGTAGAATTCAACGTTGCAATTGCATAGAGATCTCTGAGGATGCGGCGCGTAGGGTTGTTGCTGTTACAAAGGATCCGAATGCGCATAGAAACGTCACTGTGACACCGCAAAGGTAATAAAGAAATAATAGACAGATAAGATCTACGCGCGTAGCTCTGGGTTGAGGTTTACATTGAAGCATTGTACGATTACAATCGAAACGATTCGCTACCGCAACCTTAGGGAGAGGGTATAACTTTCAAGTGCTTCTTCAATTCTCAACCACAAACGAGTGTATGGCACATCTCAGACCAGAAGCAGATACAGCAAATCGGCCCATATATTACTGTCTACAAGCAAAATACTGTTCTGCAAGGAGCCCGATCTTTTCGGACCATACCAGTGCAAAGGGAAAAGGTCAACCGCTTTGGAGAATGACTTTCTGAGGCTGAGTTCTGAAAAATTGGGGAAAAGAAAGTCTTGTTGTAGGTGACTTTCAAGATGGATGTGGTACTTCTTATAAGCACAAGGTGTTCGCCTTCAACAGAAAGGGAGTTGCAAGTATTTGAAGGGAGTTGCAAGTATTTGAACGTTTGAACTCGAGTTTCCAGGAGAATAGCCCGGAAAACTCATGGAAAACAGGTCAGCGAGCCTATTTTCTCACCCGATCAATCTTGAAATCAATGCGAGCATTCGTCAGGAAGATCTAATTTCAAAGATCTCGAAGCAGGTTGAAGAATCCCAAGAAGTTGAATACGAGGAAGATTACAATGATTCATGGCATAGAAACTCGCACAAAAAAGGGATCAGAAACGGGCGCTTGGAAAATTGCGTTAATTTGTACCTACCCGTGCTTTTCGCAAAATCATCGCACGCTCTTTTAGCGATAACAGCTGATTGATAATTAATTTGATGGACGAGATGTTCCGTTCCATAATCGGCTTGAGCGATGACAGTGCCAGAAAATGTGTTGGTCTCGATGAAATCGGCACCAGCCTCTAGATAAAGTTTATGGATCTGAAAATGGATTTATTCGTTAGACTGTACAATGAGTCTCAGTGAAATTTTCTATATGTCTATTTTTGTCATAGTTCTTGTTAAAAAGAATTAAATTGTGCTGTGCCGATACAGGATGTCTCAGAAGCTCACATTGATTTTTTTAATCTCCAGAAATTTCCTTGGAGTTATTAAATGTCGCAGTTTAGGAGACGCACTCAAGGTGATCCTTACTGGATTCCTTATGAAATGAGCAATTTAGCAACAACTGGCGCCTCGAGTGAACCGGAATTACGCTAACGGAAGTTCTCAAAACTTTCAAAACAAGGAGGTATGAGGTCTTCCCATAAGTAGTGTCGTTTTTATTCAGATGAGAAACTTCTGCTAATGTTCAATAGTTTTATATCAAGTAACGCACCGTTTGAAAGAGCATTGTTTGGACTATGAAATCTTTTATTCTAACTTCCACACTCGTGACAGGGTTTTCAAATTTTAGGCCTGCGAAATGGGAGGTCCAGCCGACAAAAAATGGCCAAACCGACAACTAGCTCTAACTTTATCTTTCCTTGGGAGAAATCAATCAATGATGTACCCTCTACTTAGCATGACCTCTTCTAAACATTACACTATTAGGTTTCCCAACAAGTCGCGTCGCTCCTTTTCCAGACCTGGTTTTTCAACCAGAACTCGACGGTCAAGCACCATTATCTTGAAATCTAGCCCGAAATTTTACAGCCGAAACATTGAAAGGATAGAGGAATGTTAAAGCGAGGGATTACGATAAGATTGGACTGGGTTCATGGTGGAAGTGGAGATGCTGAATAATGCCCCAGTGGCGAAAAAAGCAAAGAAATCCGTCAAGAACGCGCAAAATGGGACCCCTTTCTTTGCCCGTTGACCTCCGATAATGGACGAGCTAGCAACCAATTAAGAGGTCGTTTGCACATGTTAACCGATAGCCACCATCATACCAGCAAAGGCCATGCTTTGATTGGTAACGCATTCCATGGGAAAGTTATAGGATACGCACTCACACAGCGGAAATACCTCATCAAAATGATAATCGAAGGGCGCTGCTGCTGGGGGCGGAGCTCAGAAAGGAATGGCAAGCCCAGTACGCTGCAGCTAGCGCACCTTTGGCCACAAAAACGCAACATTTCGTTTCCTTTGGCCCCTGACTACTGCTTCCACTGGTGCATGTACTTCCACGCTGCACACACACTTTATCGTAATCTCTCGCTTTAGGTACGAGTATGACTAAGTTAGCAGTATATCCCTATCGTAGTCTAGTAGTTATCCCATCTTTTCGATAGATTTTTTTTCTCAAACTAATGTGGCCGTTCTCGTGGACTAAACACCTTATCGCGCAGCCCTAAAATTCGACTTGATTCACAAAGAATATAAAAACAGGATAAATGAACGAACAGAGCAGAAAAAGTGCTTACGGACGTTTTATCCTCTTACACATAAAACAGCCGTGTTCAGAGCAAGAATTGCAGTTCAAAAATCGCTGTGGCTTACCGGTTAACCGGAAAAACCAACTTCGTAAAGGAACACGACAAAGCTTTTCCACCAGCCTAATAGCGGAATGTTCTTGAGAGGTCATGAGTAAGTAGAGGGTACATCATTGATTGATTTCTCCGTAAGGGAATAAAGTTAGAGCTAGTTGTCGGTTTGGTCAATTTTTGTCGGCTGGACCTCCCATTTCGCAGGCATAAAATTGAAAACTTGGAATCGAGTGTGGAAGCAAAACATAGAGCCTTATAGAGCAGACAATTCTCTTTCGAAAAGTATATAATTTGATATAAAAACTTAGGGTTTTACCAGAAAAATTTTCTTTTGAAAAAAAAACACTAATTATGGGAAAAGCTCACAGGTACCATTTTCCTCTGGCCGCATATTTCGCTAGCTCTACCTCAATCGGCATTGGAACCTTTTTTTTATATTTTATAATTTTATTAATCCGGAGCATCAAATGACGCAGTAGTTGTACCAAACGACTCAGCTGCGAGCTTGTGTGGTCATCTACTGATAAGGACGGAAACGAGGTGTTTTCCATGACCCCGAACATTGTTCAATAACTTTGTAGAGGGGAGATTATCCTTTGTTTCAGCGCGACAAATGATTTCCCTCAGATTGAAAAACAGAGTCGATCAACGGTAACTTCAAACGATGGACAGAGCGCACAGAAAAGCAGCGGATTGAGGAATTGCGAAAAGACAGAATGGAAATTGGAAGTTAGCCAAATCCTTATCAAAAGTTCTTGAAAGCGCAACATTTCCAGGAGAAATCATGAAAGGCTAAAAATTTCGTTCTCCTCAAGTCCGTCTGCGACGGGAGCACCATTTGCCTTACTTTATACCTCTTGGACCCTGAACACGAAACTGTTCTATAACATTAATTTCTGCGCAATGC